AAACGTCTCGAAGACGATGCTCTATGAAGATTGCCACAGCCCCCGGGGCCACGAACCGCCACTTACGAAGTATTATACGGCGTTAGCCGGGGTTGCCCGACGTCTTTCACTCATCGTCCTCTACCTCCTCCTACTTCTGCTTCTTTCTTCCTTTCCTCTCTTTCTCCGGTCTACCTTCGAAGTTCCCTCAGCGCGCCTAACTTCTTCCTGGAAGGTAACGCAGCCTCCTTTGTGTTCTTCGCGCGGCACGACGCGATAATTTACTTCGCGAGAGAGAAAGAGTGAGAGAGAGAGAGAGAGAGAGAGAGAGAGAGAGGAAGGAGGTGAAGAGGAGAGTTACGACGCCGCGTCAGTTTCGCGGAGAGTCGCTCGGCGAATTCTGCGCGAACGCGATATCGAGGCCGCTTTCGAAATTATTGACGATCCGTGAAACGTGATTAACGCGTTTATTTGATCTCCAGGGTAATTTTTAATGACGCCCTGTATAACGAGAGAGAGAGAGAGAGAGAAAGACGACTCCAAGTTTGAGAATTATTAATCATTCGTGAGATACGCGTAATTAGCGCATCCGTGTTACTCGCGAGATGATTTCCAGCGCGATCTACAAAAAGTCACTTCGTCGTATCTGTTCGGCGACTATCAGCATCACCACAACCACCACCGCCGCCGTCGCCGTCGCCACCGTATCACGTATACCCACACCGGTGTTTTTAATTAAAAAACCGGCAAATCCCCGACGGTTGACAAGCGATCGACGCGATGAGCCAAGGGTCGTTCCAAGACCTCTCTGTTTGCGCGTTCTTATCCGCCGCGATCTCGGGCGAAACCCGGAGCTTCGGTCCAGCCGCATAATCCCGAGCGCATTAAAGTGTCGTCTGGTCGCTTTAAAAAAAAAAGAGATCAAGGGCGGAAGGGAGAGGGAAGAAGAGAGAGAGAGAGAGAGAGCGACCGATCCTGCGCCACGTCGCTTGGCTTTCCCCGCGACACTCGTTTGGCTTTGCGTGCAAACTCGAAGCAGCAGGGGCGACGATATAAAAGACGAAGGAAGGAGTCGCACGAAGGAGGAAGAGGAAGGGAATTGACGGGATAAAAGGCGAGAGAGAGAGAGAGAGAGAGAGAGAGAGAGAGAGAGAGAGAGAGAGAGAGAGAGAGAGAGAGAGAGAGAGAGAGAGAGAGAGAGAGAGAGAGAGAGAGAAAGGGAAGAGAGGAAGAGAGGGGGCAGTGTGAGAGACGAGCGGTGTGCACCCTTCGGCGATGATACGAAAATACTGACACGCGTCCGACGATTGATCCGCGACACGTGTCGTCAATGCCGCAATCAGCGTGCCTGACTGACGTCGCGCGATGCAACCCGCAGTCAGATTCATTATTTATGAACGATTTGAAAACCGATCTGCCGGGTAAAGTGGTCTTTTTAAAGACGGGGGCGGAGGCGGAGGCGGCGACGCGCGCGGCAGCGGCGGAGTAGGAAGAGGAGAAGCAAGAAGATCATCGCAGGACGAGAGGCGTCACGACGGCGAGCACCCCCGTGGTAGGTGGTTCTGTGCGCTCAAACAGAGGGTTATCGCTTCGTAATCTTCCTGATGGACGCGTCGTATCCGCCTGTTTCTCTACCGAGCGCCGATAAAAAATATTGATGAAATAATTTGAGATGTCCTTGGACGGTCCTACTCGGTTACAGTCGCGGTGTATCATCCTTCTCCCGGATATCCGACGTTGCACGTTCACAAATTTCCAGAGGAATGAAAAAAAAAAATGTCATCGCGCGATATCGCCAACTGACGCAGCTCGGCCAAGCGACTGCCCGGTTGCGCGCAGAGCCCGCGGGGCTCCGCCAGGACGACGGAAATCTGGTGGACGGTGATAGCGCGAGGAAAATGGAGGGACACTCGTCTTTGTATACCGGCGAATACATATCCACTTATCCGCTGGATTGACCAACGCGCGCGGGTGCGCGCTTCACGATTTCACGGGCTTTCAAGGACTCCCCCGCGCGCGCTCACGCGACCCGCCGCGGGAGCGCGCGGGAGGGACGACTGCCGCCGCCGAAGGACATGAATTTTCATTCTCCCCGAATTATTCTGTCCGTCACCGCGGCCGAGGGAGTCAGTTTTCAACGAGATCTACGGCCCTTTTGTGCGGCCGAATTGGCCTCCTCTCTCTCTCTCTCTCTCTCTCTCTCGTCCCCGTTCACGGTAACAAAGATCCGATGCCACGAAATTGAAAAGTCCGCCGTGGGGGCGGGGGATCGAAGAGGACACAGAGCCTCCTCCGTCGTCGCCGCGGTATATTGCCACTGCTAAAGATATTGAGAGCGGGCCGCGCATTGTGAGCCGCTCGTGGGGAAAAATATACGGCTAAATAAGGTCGCGCGGCCGGTGTTTTATGGTCGGCCGGTGTGTCGGTGGGTGTGTTCGAGAATTTATGTCTTATTTTCGGGCCAACTCCTGGAAGCAGTCGCTACTGCAGCCTGATTAGGTCGCGAGTCTCCGTAGTACCGAGAGAGCTCTCCTCCTCGGTACGGCTTGATTTAATGGGTTTTGATTGTGCCGCCCGCTGCGGCATATATCTTGCACGAACCGCTGCTTTTTTCTGCATTAGTCAGACGCAGCAACGACGCTGCGACCGGCAGAAAGCGAAACTAATATATCGGCGGTTGTAAAAAAAAAAGAAAAAGAATGCGGAAAGAGAGAATCGCGGAAAAGGGGAAGGGAATAAATAAGAAATAGGGAGAGAAAGAGGCAAAGAGAGGAGGAGCCTCTTTGCTTGTTCAAGCTTTCTCGGCCGATCTCGGCCGAGGGATGACCTTTACAGATTTTACCGCGATTATTATAAATAATCTGCAATTATTTCGATTATTATGATAAGTAAATAATTCTCAACTCAGATTACATTTCTGCCTTCTGCCAAGTTGATTCTCTTCTAGGCTAAATCACGTCACCCATTCCCAAGACAATAGCTCTCGTCCTCCGTCCGCGGTCCCTTTGCAACTTTCCCTCGCTAAGATTAGCGAGGGTATCTTATTAACTCACCCCTCCGCCTACCCGGAAAAGCTCACTTTCTTTGGCGCACGGTCGCCTCACCTGGCCGCCGCCGTCGCCGTCGTCAGTGGATGCGTCCACCTGCGGCGCATTTTTCACGGGGATTAGCTAACGCAATTGCCGTTCTCTCGCCGGCGGCCCTTTGTCAGGAACCGACGACCGCGCAGGAGAACTGCGCGCAGCTCCTTTGCATTGGCACCAACCAATTCCGGAGGATTTGTTTCGGCACTTGGGGTGTGGTAAGCCGACATGAGACCAACGCGCCCCGACGTCGGCGCTACTAATAACGAGGAATTATCGCCGCGATACAATAGCCCCGCCGGGAAATCCTCTTTGATGTCTACCACGGAAAATAATGCCGCGCTAATAGAGCGAGATTATGGCACGCACTGTCGACGTAGACGACGACGACGACGGCGATGACGATAACGGCGGCGGCGGCCGGCGGCGACGAGGATAACGGCGGACGCGTCACCGACCACCACGAATGGTCCTCGCGTTCTCGCGTCGAGTCCTCTTCCTGCCCGCGGAGAGGCAGGCTAAGCCTGTTACGGCTTTACCGGCTCCTCTCTTTGCCCCGATGGCCCGTTGCACTCGAGAATATTGTTCTTTTCGACGCGCTTATTGGATTTCATTGCGTCGCTTGGTTCGCGTGTCCTGATATAACGCTATACGATCGCCGCTTCTCTCGAAAGGAAGAAGAGAGAGTTGATAATGTGAGTGAAAATTTGTAATTAGTGAATAAATTCTAACGCCTAGCTTTTTTCTCTTTAAATTGTACAAAATCGTTGTCGAGCAAAACGGATTTCGCGACGAAATCTTTTTCTTTCGTCCAAATCGATTCGAGACAAAGTTTTGATCCCGAGAATTCTGTCAAACTTGAGGAACGAATGAAGAGAATCTCGAAACATGATACCATACAAATTATTATTATCCTGCCTCGTTATCCTATACTGCGGATGATCGTCCACTGTCATTTTCCCCGCGCCGAAGAAGCTCGTGGAATAGAAAAAATATCACCGCTGCGCGGCCATTTGTCGCATCGATACAGGACGATAACTTGTTTCGAAATTTGACTAAATTTCCAGGGTCGACGCGGGAGCAAAATTTCGAATTTCTCAAGCATCAAAGTCGCCGGAGACACGCGAAATTCAACGAACCATTTTTCTGTTAATCAGTTGATTACTCTCGGTCCTGTAATATTATTTATCCTGCTCCCCCATCCACACTCGCGGCGGATCCGAATCAACGATATCCGTTGCCTCCGGCGGCTTTCTCTCGCCCTCCCCCTCCCACCTCCGCACCACTTCGCGCGTGTTTCCATGCGTGAAACGAATCTTTGTAAAGTTCCAGCATATCGCGCGGATCGTGTCACGCGACATTGGATGTATCAGAAGGCTAATTGTCTTCCGCTGTCAGTTGCACCCCACTTGGCCCTGTCCGAGGCACACGCCCCTCCGGGCCTACGATATTGCCGCGGACTCATACGCGCGCCACACCATTTCCATCCCTCTCGTGCATCCAGTCAGCAAGAGAGAGAGAGAGGGGGTGAGAAAGAAAAAGGGGGAGAGAGAGAGAGAGATCACGAGCGCGCAGTGCACGCCCCAAATTACACGCCAGAAAGGATAAAATAATTACACGTTGTCCGTCGCTTTTTCAGCCTTCTATTTCTACAGCGTCACCCTAGAGTGAGCGAGCGAGCGAACGCGCGCGCGCGCGCACGGGGTGAGTTGCTATTTGGGGAAAGTCATACGTGAATTTTACAACCGCGAACGCTGTACAATGCGTCTCGCTGTACGACGCGCGTTTCGCAAGCGGAAAGCGGAAAAAGCGGCATCGCGGCGCAGCATTTCCTCCTTCCCCCCGAAACGTTGATTTTTTTTTATTCTCTCTCTGTCTCTCTCTCTCTCTCTCTCTTTCGGGCAGATTTCACGGCGGGGCGATATTATTAGTATTATTATTTCTCGATGCAATCTCTTAATATCTAACATAAAGTGTCTGCAATTACCCGACAGCGAGGTATATATTTGCCGGCACGCTCACGTGTGCCCACGTCTTCCGCCTTCCGAGGGTGGAACGGCGCTCGACGCCGTTCTCCACAGACATGCGAGCGCGCACCTGAGAAACGCAAGGTGCCGCTGTCCTCACCTGTGGCGCGGAAAAGAAGCACGAGTCGACGGAGAGCTACGCAGCCCAAATGAGCGGGGGAAGACCCGCTCTCCCGCCGAAGGTGGCCAGCCATCACCTGCCGAGCGAGTTTCGGCCTCACGTGGACTCAAATTGCTGAACGCCGGCGGTAATAAAGTCACACACACACACATTGGCATGATCGGCCAGTGCTCCAGCGAAATTCGCCCGATCGATCGGAAATTGCCGCGCTCAAGGGCGGATCGCATGTCGACGCGCGGAATGCCAACGGCAAGCGCGCGCGGCGATCTCGACGGCACGGAGCTCCTCGTGGGCGAATATCGAGAATAATTCATAATCTCGGAAATCGCGTATCGCCGCGCTGAATTATTCCGTGCAACTATTGCGCGCACTTGGCTTATATGCGTAATGAATGCTGGAAATGCAGGGAAAAGGACGATAGGAATATCTCTCTCATCCTCCGTCCATGTGTGGTTCTCTTATTATCTTTTTTCCTACATTCTCTCACAGAGCCCTTTATAATCACTTATTCGCCGTACTGTGATTCGTTGTCTAATATCCACCCGCTGTCTAAGGCAGCGATATATTGATCGTTTTCGACGTTTCTGCGCTGTTTTAATGTTACCTATACATCGGAAGGAACGCGGGAGCGACCATTACGAGAAAAGCTGCTGCTATATATGTCGTGCACGTGATAAAAAATTCGGAATTTTCGTAATGTACACAATGAAAATTGCGTTTCTGTTGGTATGTTTTTTTCACTTTTATAAAAGGCCATCCTTGTCGGCAATTTTATTCGGAGAGCTTTACAATCGTTTACCTGAGGTCGCTTACCTGTCATCGCTCTGCTGCTGAGTGCATATTCGAGAATTTCCTTCTCTTCTATTTTTAATAAATCTTCTTTCTGCTTTTAACAAATCGAAGATTACTTAAAGTTTCAAGGCATCTCAAGACGACTCTGCCATGTTCGTCGAAGAATCCTGCGAGAATCGTCTGACATGCCGATGTTAAAAATACAAGGAAAAGGACGATAGAAATATCTCTTATCGTCCTTGTGGTTCTTTCATTATTCTCTTCCCTACATTCTCTCACTCCAATCATAGAGAGCCCTTCATAATCATTTATTCGCCGCACTGTGACTCCGTTCTCTAATATCTACCGTCTAAGGCAGCGATGTATGTTAATTGCTTCCAACGTCGCGCTATTTTAATGTTATCTATACATCGACGGGGACGCGGGAGCAGCCATTACGAGAAAAGGTGCTGCGGGCGAATCCCTTGCATCAGCGAGGGCAGAATATGCTTCGGCACGTAGAGTGCACGTCGATGCTTGTCTATCGATATCGACGCTGTGAATTTCCCGTCGAGTCGGCAATTTCCGCTATTCCGCCGGGCTACGCGCGCGCGTCAACGACACGATGTAATGGATGAGAAGTACGTATATAACTATGTAACGCTGAACGGGCGGATACGGTGTATTAAAAATAAAAAAAAAAAGGAAGAAACACGGGAGACGCGATTTTTTCCCCCGCGCTTATGCGAACGCGATCGCTCGTCGAGCTGCTCGGGCTGCCGAATATCAGGCGGTTCGGCGAGAGGTAAGGCGTAAAGCACGTGAGGCTACAAGATCGGGAGATTACTCGTTCGTTGCTTCGTATCTGGCGGCATCCGTAAGGAATCGAAGGATAGTGCAATTTAAATTAACTCACTTTGACCTCTCCCCGAAAAGAGAAAGATCGATCGCTTCGAAAACTAAATAAAAATAAGTAACAAGGCACTTCCTACACAAGGACGAAAGTTTAACTGTTTCCTTGCTAACCCTTGCTTGCACCCTTGTGTGGATCATCCAGCGTCATTCCTTACGGAGAGAGCGTTAACTTGGGAAGCGAAATTCACCACGAGACTCCGAGTCCGACAGATGGGCAGCGAAACGCGACACACGGACGTCTTGGTCCTCCGAGTCCTCCGAGTCCTGAAAGTATTCGGCAAAGTTGCACTTTTAATTAATTAACGCGGCGCCAAGCTTACGGACTATAATAAAATCGTATACTCAGTCCGGCGAATGCTTTGTCAGTCAATAGATCGATACTTGCCGAAAAATCTCGGCCGACCTTCGGCATCGTTTCGAGTTTTACGTGCGACTGAATGTACTTGGGACGCGCGTAGCGACTTGAAACTGCGTTCAGTTCGTAGTCGGACGTCCGACTTTCGATCGAAGAAAGTCAGTTGTACAAATTTATTTGTTGGTCGAGTGTTAATCGTACTTGCTGCGGGAAGACGAACGGTGGGCTGTTTCGCGACGTGGACGCCTCCACGTCGGTGCTCTCGTATCCTGACGAGGATTCCGGGATCCTGATTCCCGCCGGGCGGTCGTACGGCTCCTCGTGAAGCGGGAACACCACCCGCCTCGAGCTCCCCGATATATTTTCCTTTCGGAAGGAGCTTTTCCCGTAATCTCGCTGAGCACTCAAAACGGGGATGTCGAACTTCAGCTTGCCCGTTCCGGTACGATCGGCCACCGCGCCGGCGTAGCCCGGAGGCAGGGCTTTCCGTTTCCTCCCTCGAAGGAATTTCGAATTGCCTGTCGAGCGACGAGCGATTTAATTTGCGGAAAAGCTTCAATTTCAACGCCAGCCGCGCGACAAATCTACGCTACGTTCTCTTCTCCCCATCTCGCCTCTCCATCCCCTAGCTATCTGTCTATCATCTACCTTGCGACGCGTGAGGCTGCTGCTGGTGGTACCCGGCGAAGAACCGGAAGAATCCGCCGTTGTGATTGTTCAGGTAATGCACCAGTTTGTCGGGATTACGCGGACACCTCGGGAACACGCGGTAACACGCAGCCGGATCCCCCCTGCTGCTGTAACCCAGCGCGGCGGCTCGCGCGAAATTCAGCACGGGAGACGTTCCCGCCTCGTCGAATCCGACGAGCAATCTGAAAGACGCAACGAAAGAAGCAGCTGAGGGTGAAGCGTTGGTTAAACTTATCGGTTATGTCTGTTGTAACGATTTTTCTTGCGCCCTTGCGCAAGAAAAATAACACGGAATTAACAAAACGAGAGAAGCTTTATTTCAATACGTCCGTTCGTTGTGACAAGACTAGGGCGACTTTTTTTCTCTCTCTTCTTCTTTTCTTTTTTTATTAAACAACCTCCTTGACAACAACAGCTGTCAAGCAATCTCTACTCGATTCCTTTGCAGTCCACTCCCAGGAGCGTGGGGATAACATGTCCCCCAAAGACACGGGCGCAGCAATATTAATAACGTATATTTTAGTTATTATTTAGTATATATACAGGATGTCCGGGATCCTTTGGAAACGAAAAATTGTGAAGATTAATCAGATCAAACTGAGAAGAAAAGTCAAGTACCATTTTGCAAAAATCGCAATAGTTATTGAATCATCAATGATTGAAAATGACCAGAGACTTTTTTAACCGATAACTTAAAAAATTGCCTATTTATTTGCGAAACGATAAAAAACCTTTCTTCTCACCTTTGATCTGATTAATTTTCATAATTCTCCGTTTCCAAAAGATCCCCGACACCCTGTATATATAAAATACACGTGTGTGTTACGTCATGATAAATATATCATAACAAATCTGTTCTTATGAAATTTTACACATTTGTATGTGATCGCAACGTGTTACTCGGGAAAATACGCACTGTGCGAGAGCGTTTCTCCCGAGATCGCTCAGATACGACGACGATGCACGCTTGTATTCTCCTGGCGGTCGTCCGCTTGCTACTTCGCAGAGCATTCTGGGCACGCATTTGAAATCATCGTAGCGAGAGATCGACGATAGGGCATCATAGAGATTCACCCCAAGCCCGTCGAATTGGCCGGACGGATCGCCCGGTACAACCGGCCGATTTAATTGATACTGACCGTCGGCGGCGACGGCACCTAACGGAAAGCCTTCGTTAATCTGCAAAATATCATATACCGTGCGTCAACGGTCGATCCTGACCAGATCCTCTCGCGATAAGTACGTCCAAGGTACGCAAATTACGTCATTCCAAATACGTACCGATGGGAATCCGTTGTTGAACAAACCCGAGAGCAAATCCACAAGAGACGATACGTACGGATTCTCTCGGTAGGCCAACGAATTCGACTCGCTCGCCCGTCTCAGCGATCGAGCGTCTTCTCGAGTCGCAAGATCGCCCATGAGCGCGCTTACGCATCTATACGATCACAATTAGCAATGATAAATGCAGGAAAATCAATAAAATCGGATTACTCATAGATGACGATCAGCTTCAACGATATGCTGTGATAATTTTAGACAGCACGACCGAGTGAAATTGCTTCGTCAATTCCAGACAGCGATGTCTCTCCCCCTCTGAATATTTTCACCGAGGTGAAACTTCTCTCTTCCACTTACCGCAAGAAATCTGTCACGTTATACATCCGTGAGGCGTCAAAACTGCACTGACTGTCGCCAGGCAACTCGTCGGGGTACCGCGACGTTTTACCGGCGTCAGCTTTGATGTACAAGTACGAGAGGCACCATACGAGGATAAATTTATTCATCATTTTGTGTGTACGGAGAAACTACGAAAATATATCTTTTATTTCGAGCAATCATGAGGATACAACAATCCGATGGCGTCGTTTGTTAAAATACGTCTAATATTAAACGCAGCGCTCGCTCCACGAAATCGCCGCTGGAAAATATACTACGTTACCTGGGACGACTCCTCGCCGACCAGTCTCAACGCACCTCGGGGATGCACGTTCGCGATGCGGCACTCGAAAATAAACTTAATGCTGAATTAGTTTGCTCGATTAGTTGCTTACGGTACGGTGATTTTTGCGCTCGACCGGGCGAGTTGTTTTTTAGCGTAAACGGTCGCGTCGCCTGTCTCAGTTCCGCGCCAACTGAAACTTTCCTCGGACTTGATCCTCGTTTATCCGTTCGGTCGGAAAGACGTGGGTTGGAAGCGACGTCATTGCGAGCGACTCTCACTCCTTGTGTACTTTCCTGCCTATGCCTACGCTCGAACGCGTGTGCGTGTGTGTGTGTGTGTGTGTGTGTGTGTCTACGCACGTGTGAATGGACGTATGGGCGAAGAATCATACGCGAAATGGCACAGTTTTCGCAAGAGCTCTTCAAAAATAAGCGGACTCGAGCTTATACGCCTCCCTAAATGTCAAACGATTTGTTTTCGTGGCATAAAACGCGGAATAAACGCGGACGGTATATCACACATGTAATGGTGTATCACACTAGACACGCGCGTGAACCGTTTTATTTATGTCATGGACGAGCATAGTGAATCGGAGAAATCGACAGATGCGTGAGAGGAAGGAGGAAAGATAGAGAAAAAACGAGAGATGACCGATGGAGGAGGGAAAGATTTCTCTAAAACGCCCAAACACGCATCTCTAAAAATACCAAAACAATTTCCTGGAATGCAAATTAAATTTTATAGAAATTCCTGCACGAGCCCTTTATTTTGTTGATCCTTAAAGTTGATCGTTCCATGTGTCGATCCTTCAAGATCATTGAAATAAATCGCAATTCGGTATAGATATATTTATCAATTGATAACAACGAGAATAATTCAACGATCAGAGACACGTAGTCTCCCGCACAATCAGCGCGTTAGCATTAGCAAATTAACGTAACCTAACCTAACCGAGCTGCATGAAACGCGCGAAATACACGCACCGTCTCGTCCTCTGTTCGGACTCCAATTTACGTCGCGATCGCGGATAATCACATCCGTGGGGTCGAAACATTTCACAATCTGGCGTTATCGCAACCTCTTCTTCTCTTCGCCAGCAAGTGACACAGCTTCGGACTGCCAATAGCGTCTCCCAGAAAGACGCTCAGCAAGTAATTCTCCTTCATCGGATCAGGCGACGACTTGTACTCGCTGCGACATTCAAACACACACACACACACGAAATCGTGATTATTAGCAGATATCGCGTCGCGGCGATATCAGCGAGAAGCGCGAGCTCCGTGTCTCGCGAGCGACAGGATCGCCGAGTTGAAATTCACTTCGAGTGGCAACGCTATCAAGAGCAAGTTGCGAAATCGCGCGAGCTGTTCCATTTACCAAGAGCGGAAAGGAATTTAACTCATTTCTACATTCTCCGCTCTACATTAGACTGCGCTACGTCGTAATTAAAACCTGTATTATTATGCGCGTCGCATCGCGGCCCTGACAGGACAACATCCTGAGAAAACACCCAACGTCCATCTTATCGCGCCCGCGGTCCAAGACACGGCCTCGCCGTGCTGTCCAAATGGATCCCCCTATTTCCAACGACGCCACTTCACCTACGATCCTTCCGTCGCGCCTGCGACGCTCGCTTCCGAGCGAGCCTGCAGCCGCAGCTAAGCGCGCAGGACGATCTCGCGGCAGCTTCGTCCCTCATCCATGGTCGGTTAAGCCCGTCTAGACGGTAGTTGCCGCCAGTACCCGATCTCCAATTTATCTGTCCCCGCCGTCCGCCCCGCCGACGCTCGTCCCCCTCGTCGGCCTGCGCTCGCCTACGTGAGGCGCCCGCAGGTGACGAGCGGGAGCAGGCGAGAAGGAGATGGCGCGGTTGGAGCAGCGGACCTGGAGGAGGCGCAGGCCTCTCTCCGCTACGAAGTACGCGCCCCGAGAGATACATCGTACGTCGTCGACAGGCACGGCGACACGTGCTCGCTATCTCGAGTCGCGGGGCATTAGGAAGTCCGAGAGATAAGCCGAGTCGGGTAGCGCGGGTAGCAATCGTAAAAGGAGTCTCTCGCTCTTCTCTTCCCCCCCCCCTCTCCTTCTCTCTCTCTCTCTCTCTCTCTCTCTTCTCCTCCTGCGCCGGCCTGGACACGTAACGGTAGCCGAGTCGAGTGGAGCACGAGGAACGGACGGACGATCGCGAGGAGACTAGGACGAGGAGCGCGACAGGAGGACGCGCGGTGGTTATCAGGATGCATTAGGGCGGCCGTGGAGGCGCCATTAAAGGCTATCTGCTGCCAGCGTTACTTACAACTGAATTTAGTGTAAGTCCCGCAGCGAGGGGCAGCGAGGAGTCGTTAGAGAGCGCGCAGACTGTAGCGGGGATTTCTATTATATCTTCCAACGCGCGGGATTGTCTGCTGAGAGGGGAGGTGAAAGGATGGCAGAGGGAGAGGAGAGGAGGAGGAGGAGGAGCAGGAAACGCTCCATCGTCGTTACAAGAGAGAAGGAGAAAGCACCTTTATCCGCTGCACTTCCTTTTAGGATTTCGTAGGCGTGGATCGCGCGCTTCCCGACGTTATCGCCTCGGCAACGATTTTAACGGCGCGTCACGACACGGCTCGATTGTTCAGCCGGACGATTAGACGTCGCATCTAATGTCCTCTTATAGATCGCCACTTCATCCTTCCCAATTAGCCTCTAGGTCTTGCCTCCTCGTCGGACACGCACGAAGGAATGCGACCGGGCGCGGCTCGCTGTTCGTATTTGAATAAATCTAGGACGATTCAGACACATGTCCGAATGGACGTTTTTCTGGACGCTTCGTCTCGACGACGTTTAACCGCCTAGATTTCACGCCCGCGTGGAAAATAGAAAAACGAAGAAGAGAGACGGGCAAATCTCGTTTGAAATTTCCAGCGAAAGAAAAAAGCGGACTCGACGAGGAGGTCGCTCGGGGTCGCTCGGCTTTCACGCGATTTCGTATATTAAGTCGTTGTTTCCTAACGGAGAACCGTTCGCACAGCCGTCTTTATCTCGGGCAATCGGTTTGCCCGTAGCAATTACCGACGGCGCCGCGGAGCGAGCGAGATGCCGCACAAAAGGTCACGTATCACTGCATAAATGGAACGAGCGGCTCACGCCGCTTTAATGCACCCGTTAATAAAAACCCTCGCGGATTGTGTGTTTCCTAATAGACCGTTGCACTGCATCCATACGGTAAACCTGTTTTTCGAGACATAGATTCCTCCAGCCGTGAACTTCAGGGTCGTCGCGGTTACGCAACGCGATCGCGGGAAAGCTGCGGCGCGGCATCGACCGGCTGCCTCTTTCTCTTCTTCTTCCTCTCTCATGCCGTCGAACGATCTCGATTCTACAGCTCGCGCGGTTATCGCATTATACTTGTATTGTATATTTTTATATTTGAATATGTCTTGAATTTATAGTCCTTCAAGCCATAAGATCCTTCATAAGATACTCTCTTTTCCAATATGCCTTTTGCTTTGGTTTTTAATGTACTATCATCAAAGCGATGATTCCCGCGAACAAATAAATAAATAAATAAATTAGATAAATAAATTAGACAGATAAATAAATAAGATTAGAATAAGTAAATTAATTATAAAATATTTCACCGCCCCGCGAAATTCTCGTTTCGAGTCGCGAGAAAAGCAACACCGAAATCGCCGACTTCCGTATCCTACCTGAACACCTCGTCCCAATCGAGAACGCGCTCCCGACTCCTTCCCCGAAGGGTTCGGTCCGCGTACTTGGCACAAATCCTCTCGTAGACGCAGACATTATTCCCGAGCTCGGCCACCATCCTCTTCTCGATTCGACCGACGTCTAAGATCTCCTCGTCGTGTATCAAAGGAGGCGCCCGTTTCGTTCGACTGGCATAAGTATCTGGAAATTCAAAGGGTCGTTGGACGATCCGCCGAGAGCTTCGTCGCGACCTCGTTTGCTCGTGATCGACTTTTGAGGGCTGTTTATTCGCCCGCGACGTCGGAGATTTTTGCAAAGGCCTCAGTCTGATGCGTGAAATCGGTAGAACGACGTTTTTATGAGAGAACCACGAATATCAACGCGTTGCTTATTAATTATTAATCAGCGCGCCTTTCTCTCTCTCTCTCTCTCTCTCTTTCCCGCTTCCTCTCTAATGATTACAAATTATTCAAATTCATTAACGGTAAGCTTGACCTGCGAAACCAGTAATTCTTGACACGTTTGTCTACTTAAGCGAGCAAGCACGACGAGCAATTACAAAGTAGTTACACGCTCGGGTGGTCTGAAAGAGAAGTTGCAACAAGTGGAACACTTTCGCTTTCGTTGTCAGTCGATTCGGTTCGCGTGTTTCTCCGTGCGGAAGGAGAATGATCTTACAGCGTGCGCGCGATATTTTTATTTTACACGACTGGCGGATCACAACCGCTACGGAAAATTTCCGTCTCTCCAGGTCTCTCCAGGCGATAAGGAAGCGGATAAGGAAGCGCGCGATAATAGCGGAAACGCGCAAAGCGAATTTTACGTTGCACGAATTTACGCGCACATTACGCGTACATTTCTCCTCTCTCATTTTCTCGCCGATTCTCGTCCGATCTCGACTCATCCTGAATTATCTTATCGCGTCCAATCGCGTTATATCCCGCATAAATTATGTCAAACCGCACGGAGGAAAAAGATCGGGTGAGTTAACGCGCCAATGGACGGATCGAGCGCGTCCCGCTGCCGAGGGGAACAGGATTTCCGGCTCTTGGAGAAAGGAATCTCTTTTACAGATGCAATAAATCAGAATACCTGCTCCTTAAAGTCGAATCTGGCCGGTAAGAGCCATGAATTTTCCATTTCCCCCTCACGCGCAAGACCTTCGTTTCGTCCCATGTCGTGCTAATTCAACCGTCCGATCGTACATCCTTCGTTATCCCGACGACGCAAATTGCACGCGAGTTTGTCGTTTGAGGCGGATTGCCCCGCTCGCGCACGTTACCTGGATTCAAGGAGTACGCGAGCTTCTTGATGAAGTTGGTGATTCTTACGGCCGCTATAATCACCGGAAAGCCAATCAGCTGCACCGGAATATCGAAGACCGGCTCCTCCGGGCTGGGCGCCGCCGTCACGAACGTCAACGCCAGGAAGCAGCAGCCGAAGAGCACGACGACCCGTGGCAGCTGCATTATGCGCGACGGATCTGAGACATTCGTGGACTAACGTAAGAGCGAGCGAAGGAACGAACGAACGAACGAACGAGCGAGCGAGCAGCGGCCGCTGCGAGACGCCGACGTACTCCGTCGGCGGACTTCCGGCGCGGAGCCGCGAGCGCGTATCTCCCTCTCGCCGTCGCACGACTTTCTCGAGCCCGTTTCCGCTCTTCTCGTGCGCGGGCAAACAAGCTGCCTCTCGGCGAACGCGACGCCTCTTCGCGAAAGCGAGCGCCTCAATAGACGAGCAAGCTCCGCGAGCGATTCATTTAGCTGATTATCTCGTAGCCGAAGCGAGATAACGGAGATAAGAGCTGAATAATAACAAGGATGAAGAGCGAGTAGAGATCGCGTGGATCACGCTTGACGTTCACGCGCGCGTGCTTCCCCTGTAACTGAAACACCTCTTCGATCGCGAAAACTCTCTCTCTCTCTCTCTCTCTCTTTGTCTTTCGCTTTCTTCCTCACTCATCTACGAGATCTAAATCGCGCACTTCTCCGCCGTAACGCTTCGTCGTCGCGTGGCTCGCGCGACCTCCGCCCACGAATCAACGGTACTCGGTAGTTACCGTTAAGCAGCCCGTTACGCAACGCGTAAAAGCTGTTCTCGCCGCGCGTCGCTGCACTTTCCCGCCGCGCCGAAATTTTAACGAGCGTCATCGGATCGCGCGACCGCGCTCTCTTTCGCACCTCCGCGCCAACGTACCGCGCGTTTTCGGCGCACCCGGCGGACTTGCTGGGGACGCGGACCGATCGGCTGCTTGCTGCTTTGGTAAAAACTTGCTGCTGAATGTTCCTCGAGGCGGCAGAGAGGCCGTCGTCGCTGGTGCCGGCGCGAGAGAAAGTGATTGCCCCCCTTCGCCGGCCAGCCCGGCTTTGGCCGACCTGACGGCAATGAGTTTCGCGTTACGACATGTGCTATGCGACGGGGACTTCCTCGTGCCATCGGCAACGACGGCTGACCAAAGAGACGGCTGCCCGGCAAGGTCACTCGCGGAGATGCGTCGACGGTTCTCGAGTGTTCTCGTAAAGTAAATCGCGAGTTCCGTTCGGAAGTGCTACCAGAAGAGGGGAAACTGGCGGCGGAATTCCACGCCGGAAGTCGCCAATTTCGAAAGCCGGGTTTCGACCTAGGAGAGAACTTTCGCGAATGTAGCGATGCGTAATTTCCCCGAATGCCCCTCGATTGCGTCACGCACGATGTACAAATCAATTAGCGGCTGAAACCGCGTGTATCGCAGCAGGAGGCGGGCGAGGGCAGGAAAAGAGAAATTCTCCTCTCCTTATCCGCTGCTATCGTTCCACTTACGGCTGTCGTGACAGTCGATAGATAAATTGTGTACGCGATGTGCAGCGCGATGCACGTTACGCGACGATACCTTGCTACGTAATCGAAGAGTGCGTTAGAAAATGCAACGCGAGTATCTCGCGGTGAAATCCCCCTCGGGACGATTGCAAAATTTAGCGGCGCGCGCGTTGCGTCGACATCGGCGACAGTAACAAAGGGAATTAACAATTACTCCCGTCATATTTGGTTTTCTTTCGAGCCGCACGGAGAGATGTCTCTCATCGATTTTCACGAGGCGCCAGCGACATGTTGCGGAGCAACAAAAAATAAACAAACGCGCTTATTTCTATGTGTGAGAGTATTTTTTATCGAATTTTATAGTTTTGTACTCGAATATTTTCCGAGAATTCCTTCACGTGAAGGTTGAGAATATTTTTGTTTTTAACCGTTTGAGTCCCAGGGGGTATTGAAAAAACACTGTCGAAGAATCCCAAACAGCGCAACCGCGCTTTCTATAAATGAGTATGAAAAGACCCAAGCAGCGCGATAGCGCTTGTTTTATTTTAGGTCGAGAAATACCAAGCAGCGCGATAGCGCTTTGTTTATTTTACATCGATGAATCCCAATCGGACCAATACCGCTTCTTGTATTTGTTAGGTAACGCGATTCTCGTCTTTTTCTCATCGCTCTGTCACATTTATTGTAGTTTGCAAAGCGATCGGACGTATTCTTGCGTAAGTGTTTCTCATTGTTAATAATTGTGTGTTTCAAAATGATTAGACGAAGCAACGGAGCAACGAAGCAAAAGGAATCCATCCAACATGTTTTGATAAACACCGATGTTACAAATTATAATTGTTACTCTCCATTTAAATTATTTGTTCATAACACAAAAATATTGTTAATTTGTAATTCGTTATTTTATAAAATACATCTGTATCATTACATACGCGTACTGTAAATTTATAAATATTTCAAGTTTTGTTCGATAAAAATTATTGAGAAGATAACAATGAAATAAAAATTTTTATTTTGTAATGTATTATTGCATTATTATAGTATTATTCTACCTATTATAAAATGTACTATTTACATTAAAAGGATCGGTGTGATATACTTGCTTCAGTAAATCTGAGCGCGCGACTTCGACAATCGGTAACGCACCGTCAGTTGTCCACAATGATCGAAATGTACTGGGTTTTCTCGACATAAAATCTGAACAGCGCGATCGCGCTGCTTGGGACTCAAACGGTTAATGGGGGGTGAAAAATCTTCAAAAGACACCCAATTGGGTAGAGATTTTTATCCACTAGAAAATACTTCCCCTGATCACGACCAGTCAATAGATCGAGTAGCGATTTTTACTACATTTGTTAGTGTCGCGTGAGTGAAGTATCTTTTATCAAAAATAATTTATCAAAGATCAAAGATTAGTAAGTTTTAAACCATCATATGATACTTGAGAGAGACACGTTTGAACAATCTCAGTCGTAAAATTATAAAATAATTGTGCAAAGCATAAAATATCTAACAGGATCCTCGGCAAGGTTCCTTCACAGTACCGAATATATTCATTCGGTACTGTAATTTCGTCCGGTTTTTTCCTCCGAGAGTGAAGCGTCGATCTCTAAGTAGCAAGCCAGATAGAAGACACGTAAAAGAAACACGTGTCTTAATTTCCCACCGCTACAACGTGTTCAAAGTCTATCACGACGAGTCAGGAACTCTTGCACGCTTTTTCGTCACACGACGAGGACCCGAGGGGGGTTTCCCGCTCCGAGCGCGATCGCACGTCGCCGGAATAGCAATTCGCGAAGCAACGAAAGAACACGCCGGGGAAGGTCGCGCGCGGCCGGCTCGGAGTTGGCAGCGGCGGAGGAACGCCGATAAACTCCGGCGGCGAGATATCGCGCGATAATTTCCGCGAGCATCCCGAATATCGCTGGCTGCGCCTCGCAGGGGTGGCTGGCTGGCGCGGTGCGGAGGGCGCGCGTTGCTCTCGGTGGCGGCCTCATCGGCGTTACGTCCCGCGTTTCACATCGCGTATCGCGAAGAGGTCCTAACTGCTGACCGAGACTCTTGGCACGACCTCGTTTATGATCGCACGGCTCGTTGGGAAACGTCCTCCGCTCCAACGGCACTCTTGGCATCGGGCTTAAGTCGATAAAGACGCCGGCGATTATTGTAATAATTTTCGCGCGTTTCTCCCTAGGCTAGGAAACAGCAGCGGCGACCGCGACGGCGCTGGAGGATTATATCGGGGAGGAAATACCGGTATTAAAACAGTCGACGGGAGAAAAGAGCGACGGGCCGCTTTCGGGCGGAGATCGAGCCTTTTGATAATTTGGCAAAGTACCTTACGACTGGGAGGCGCACACACACACACACACACACATATACATGGAGTGACGGTCGTAATCTACCGGTCTAATTAACAACCGACAGACTTTGCATGTGAAAAAATGTATTTGTTATTCGGCGATATACATTACGACAAGCGACGATGTGCGCGTTAACGCGGAGTTCTCGAAGTACGTAGGAAGGACGGGGTATTGTCTTATCGAAAGATGAGTGCGAGCGACGTGTGTTGTAGTACGAGAAAGATGCGGAGCGCTTATCGCGAGATAAATAAATAGCATCTTTGAGCAAATGTGCATGCGTCTGCTGCTTTCTTTATTCATGTTTTTATCCTTGTCTTAATCTCTTTAACGAACGAGCTAACCGCAGAAGGGAATTTCACGGGGGATCGCTGATTACGCGACTGGGATATTATTCGCTGATTACGATCACAAGGTCTGGGAATGTTTCGAACAAATGAGACTTGACACTGTTTTCGACAATGCTCGGTCTCGACGAAGCCGGGAATCCCAACACGCATCATGGAGCTCCTCGTCGCGACCGGAAGAACATCCCGCGCTCCGCGGAGCACCGCTATTCGGTACTCCGTCTTACTTGTCGCTTCCCTTTTCGCTTCAGCAAAAGCTCGCGCGAGTTCCCGAGTCTCTTCGCGGTCGAGGATGAAGGGAAGAAAGAACGATCCGCGATTATCACAGTTTCAGAAATCGCCGCCGCGTCGGACGCGACTTCCGAGTCGAGCTTTCGGCTCGACCATTCAGCGCAGGCGAATCTTCTTCATCATGTTGAGCACGTTGGTGCGGGCCAACGGACACGTCGGGTAAAAGTTATGGCAGCCCTGACCCTCCACACCGGAGATCAGTTGACCCATATGCGCCGCGAAGTGGTACCTCGACGGCATCTCCGCCATCGTGCTCAGACTCGTGTCCCTGAAAGAGACGCGATCCATTAGCGCGACGAATCTCGCCTTGGCCGCCGCAGAGTCGCGAGCTCGTTAATTCCGCGTCAGCGGACCGACGACGAACGTTCCTCGTTAATTGCGCGCGCTGGCGTGTCGAGCTTCGACACAGCCTCGACGACTTTACCGGTCGTCGCCGAGGTCGTCGCGAGATCATCGCGAGATCATCGCGATACACATCGAAATGGCGCGGGATCGGTCGCGATGCTCAGCGGACGCTTGAGTATCCTCGAAATATGAGAGCGGGGGGGACATTTGTCATCAAACGGAAATTGCACGGTGCGGAGCGACTCGTGGCGCGTTTTCTTCGGTTCTCATTTCCTCGGAGGAAATTTCGAGGGAAAGATATCCAAGGTGACGACGATAATTATCGCCTGTAGAATTTTCGAATAACGTACACGTGTAAGTGGGGTGTAAGTGCGAAAGTTTGGGTGGATTTCGTGGGAGAGAAATGGCTGACTAATTTGGCCGGAAGCGACTCTATCAAGTGACCGCCATGATTTTCTACGATCTTTATGTATCTCCTGCTTTTACATATTTCCAAGGGTTGCTATCAAAGTGGATGTCGATACCGGATGTCGACATCCTCGAGAAATCCGTCACGATCCGTTTGCGCTCACCCGGTATGTATCGGAAATGCCGACGAGATTTTCGACTCGGTCGAACGTTTATTGAAGCTCATAACGTTCCGTTTCACGCGAGTTTCGCGACCTTCCCGAATTTCAGAGCGTGAAGAGCCAAAGGAGAGCGAGTCAATCGAGATTTATGCAATCGAGTGTCATAATACAGCGACGGCGGTAGAAATATCCGACGGAGCGCTGCTAAATGTCGACGCGATTGACCATGATGAAGCGGTGGCCGATGGCGCGTATATAAAAACTAGCACAAGGCGAGTCGCCTTTTACTTTCGATATCGACGGCAGAGCCGCCGTCGGTGAACGCGCAGTGAACGCTTCGAATCCGGTTCAAACCCGGCAAAAAGTTTCGCGCTCGCGCGCCTTTCGCTCGCCTCAGCGCGGTCCTAGAGTCGCATTTGCATTTCCGTCGTCGCTAAAAGCGACAAATTCCGCGAGCTCGCAGTTCTCGCAGAGCTCGCGCGCTCTGCCCGCCGATCTTCTAAGTGACGAGCACTCTCGCCGGCGCGTAGCTGGTAGAAAGCGAGATGATTCGTCGTCCAATTTCTCCCGGCGAGCATTCCCACACGCCATTTTTCGCGAAGCCGAAATTTTCCCAGCCGCGCCGAGGTCTACGTGGGAACCGAACGAGAAACCGAGAAACGTCCGCGCGAACTTTGCGATCCCGATCGCGAGACCGAGCCGAGCAGAATTTCGCGCGCTGAATCCTCCAGTCATTCGGCTTGTCGGAAGAGTATAATAAAAGCGCCAGCAGTTTCGTCACGCATGGCTCATGCGGACGACGTATCCTTCCTCCTTCTCTCTCTCTCTATTTCTCTCTCTCTCTCTCTCTCTCTCTCTCTCTCTCTCTCTGTCTCTCTTGCGGCAGAGGAAGCCCTTCCCCCTTTACGACTCCGCGTCTTGGCCTCGAATGCAGAGGAACGAGGGGATCGGCGCTGGGATATAAGGAATAAACGCAAAACGGCTTTTTAGCCTCTCCATCTTGATCGGTTTAACCTGGGAGCGATCGGCGTCGATAAAAATCGAGCGCGGAATGCGTCAGTACGAGCTCCGGCGCGTTTACGCAGGCATAAAAGTAAATATAAAGCTCGGATCCTTCCGGGACATTAACCGCGGCGCGAGGTTCGCTCCTAGGACGACTTTCCTCCCCCTCTCTCTCTCTCTCTCTCTCTCTCTCTCTCCCTTTTTCTCCGAAAGATGTCCGTCTTTCTGTCGAGAAGACGCGTCGATGAACAGACGAGTGAGATAAAACGCGCGGTTAGGGTTGAAACTTCTAAATAGAGCCGCGCAAACTTCGGAAATATATTGAGACTTGTTTGTCGAGCAGAAACACTTTTGCACTACTTGAAGTAGTTATGACGTTTGAATGAAAAAAAAAGAAAAAAGAAAACAAACGGATCATTGTGATCCATAATCACACTGTTCTTCCCGTGTAGATTTTATCGCGCGGAAAACGCGGTCTTGCTTCTCTTTCCCTCCTTCTCCCCTCCGCCCTCTGCCCTGCAATGAAAACCCCACGCGCCAGGCATTAAATTTATTTTACTATAATTACACGCAGGCGCGCCTAACTTGTAACGAGCGTGCAATGCGGTGTGAAGAAATATCGTGTATTTAAAACGAAAACAGGAAAACGCTACACGTCGCACGACAATGTCGCCCCGTCGGCGTTCATTATACTTTCTAATGGAACTCGCTTTTCTGCGTCGATTCGTTTTACTGTTCGTTCGCGTCGTTATCGTTTAACACGCCGCGCGACGAGAGTGAAATTTATTTCACGGCCGTAATAAATACAGGACTTTTATTCGCGCTCGTCACTCCGTCACTGCAGCTCCAAGTCGATCCGATTTACGTTCAAGATGCGCTCACAAAGGCATCGCGCGAGCGAATGCCCCTTCCGATCGCACGATTTTCACTATTTTTCACACACGCACTTTCCTCACGCGAAACCGTCGACGGGACTGTCAGCTCTCCAGGCGGCGAGGCGCCGTCTTGTTACAAAAATGCAACGACAAACTTGCACCCGTCGAGAAAGACCGACGATAGAGAGGAACACGCCGAAAAACGTTCTCTGGTTACAAAAATAATGCACCGCCGACAGAGGTAGGTACGCGTATTATTCAGCTAATTCTCCGTATTCATGAATAATGCACAAGAATATTGCATCCAGAACGGCACCGCAGAAGGACAGTTCGACGTGCGACGAGTTTCACGGCGACGAACCGTCCTCCGCCCCCGCTCCCTGCCATTGTTCCTTCAGACGCGCTAATATTCAGACGCGCGATGTGTGCAGTCGGAAATAACTCGTTACTTTATAATCGACGTATACGCGAATTGGCGTGCACGAGGACAGTCGTCGTCGAACGTTTTGCAGGAAACGACCGGCGGGAATGCCGAGACGACAGATGCGAGGTCTTCTTCGCCTCCGGCATCGTGACACCGGAGAAAGTATCACGGGATTGGATAATCCGTGAAAAGGAAAGTGCTCGCCAGCATTCACGGTTACCGCTCGCAGCGGACGGGGAGAGAAGATTCCTTTTCGGATGAGACTTACGCAAGAGCCGGCGAACTTTCATTCGCCGCGAACGCGCGATGAAACTTGAAATCATGTGACGACACATTTGTTGTTTGTCTCTGTTCCTCCGCCCCCCCCCTCTCTTTATTTGTCACAGAATCCTGCGGTAGATTTTACGTCAATGGCTGAAAAAAAGCGATCTCTAGTGCGTGCGAAGTCGAGAATTCGTCGTCGGGAGAAGAGAAGAACGTTTTAGGAAAAAATCTGCTCACTCTCCTCTCTGAACTTGATCACATTTCGATCTTTAGCTTCCTTTGAGATTTCAAACGGAAGTAAGACGCTCTTAGGAAGTCGAAAGCAAGAGAAATCTGACCTCGCCGGTCCCGGAAAGAGTCATTCTTGCAAATAAGAGGTTTTTTTACTTCATAGCTACCGATGATGTGAGTTTCATATCGATATTACGATTAAAAGGCTCGGGTGTGTTCATCGACGAAGTTCGGCCGACCTTCGTAGACCGACGGTAGCGCGGGGACCACGACAAGTGGACACGAGAATAATCGTCGTGCCTGCTTGGTGTATATGCATTTCGAGTATGAACAGTTCACATGCGGCTGATCACTCGAATCACGGCAACACAAGCGACCAAATGAGATGCTCGGGAGTTTCCCCGTGTTTATCCTCCAGCATTCTCGAACGAGCAACGATCCATACATAATTTGCGGCAAAACAACTTATTAATGCGCTGACGTTTCAGTAATGCCTCATCATCGGTTCTCCTCGACGAGTTAGTATTCGATGTTTAGCGATGACCGAAGATAAACAGATAGAGATACCAAAATAAATAGAGGGAGAGAGAGAGAGAGAGAGAGAGAGAGAAAGAGAGACGACGCGAGTCGACACACGCATGAATGCATAATTAATACGTCCATGCTTGAAGTTTTCGCGCTCTTCGCGCGAAATCTTCTCCAACGCGCGATGCAGCGTTGGAGAATCGCGCGCACGGGAGGGGGGAGGGACGACGAAGGGACGACGAAGCATTTCCCGGCTTTCCGGCGCGCAGGGACGCGCTTTAACGTAATTTCGCTTTTAATCAGAACGTAAAACGGCGCGCGAATTCGCGGTATAATTCTCCGCGTTATCCGCGCACGCGGGCGGCCACCTCGGCGCTTTTAGCGCCGATCGTAAACGAAAATTGCAAAATACGCGGCCATTCAACGCCGGCATCCAATTTTCCGACGAGCGGGCGAAAACGTGTCGCTCGGCACCGGCCGCGCGTTTTTCAACGCAGTCGGCGGCCGCGATGCGTGGACGCGTTACCGTTTCGGGGCGGCGGCGAGTGAAAATTGCGAGACGCGTGAACGCGCGCACAATGCCCTGGCACGTTCGGCCGCGCGCGTTCTTTTCATCGCGGAGAAGAGGAAGAGCGGGGAAAAAAGAGGGTGGGAGAGAGAGAAAATTCTTCACGGCCACTCGCACCTCGCGCAACCCGACTAGAAATTTATCCCATGGTCCTGATCAGGTTAACTTCATTTGGACATCAGGTCCCAATAAGGTAATACTATCAGGTCCTAGTAAGTCACGTAACGCAGCGTGGATATCGGGACCTCAGTAAGGATTCATACTCATGTCCTTATTGAGTTATCTTACGGAATCCTTATTACGTTTTTTTTTCTTTTCCAAATTATGACTCCTGATTACTCGCCATGGCTATATTGGATGATGACATTAGAAATAAGAAATGACACGCTGAGAATTCTCTCGTGTCATTTCCAAACAAAAAGATATTTGCATGAAAGAATATTTTAGATCGCTCGAGCGTACTTGTAAAATGTTTCGGTAAAGAAACATAAAATGAATATCATAAGATCATATAAAGTAGTCACAAGGTGACAAGACATAAGGTAGCGCTAAAGAGAAAAGTTGCATGTCGCGTTAATTTTATAACCATTTATTGACTGCTAAAGAAAGGATAGCGTTTCTATAGCGTTTTACAAATATATTCAAGTGATCTGAAGTGTTTTTTCAATGCAAACATCTTTATATCTGGAAATGACACCGAAAAATTGTTCTGTTAAAGCTTGATAATGCAAATCATATTAGGTACAATGAATAAGATCCCGACAAGGACCTGATTAACTGAACCATATTATATCATTCACTAGGTTAGGTTAGATTAGGTTGGTACATTAAGATCCTAATGTGGACCCAATCATTATAACCTTATATTAAAGGTCTTCCTTACTCATATGTCGTTAGGACATTATAAGGACTGATTTACTTAGGATTACCATTCACTCTATTAGAGTCCTTATCAATGTTAGGTGAACCTGATCAAAATTTCTAGTCGGGAATCGTGTTCTCTCGTGGTCGCGCGCGAAATTCCGATCGGCCGCGGTGCGTACGCGCGTGCCTGTCCCGCGCGGAATTCGCGCTCAGGGTCGACGGACGTGAGCCGCCGCGCCGGTGGAGTCGAAGTCGAATCGAAAGTTGTGAAAGTAACGGCTGAGTGCAACAGCCTCGATGATGAAAGTAGATTCCGTCGGCTTACTACATCGTGTGCGCATCGGTGCGCGCGTCGAGCGTAATTGAAAGAAAGTACTATTAGAAAACGTTTACTATTTTGTTTACTATTAGAAAACGCCGGATGCTATCGCGCCCCGTTTTCTTTCTTTCCTCCTCCGGCTTCCTCCTTTTCTACAACATACGCGAGAGCGACACGAGCGGAACACGACCGCCGGAAAATGACGGCTCCAGCACGGTTTTCCTCTTCTATGTTTGCTTTTTATACCTTATGAGATTTAGCAAGGATCGCTCCATTTCACTCAGCTGGTCCTGGTGGACGGACGAGGAGAGCTCGCATATCAACTTCGGCAGACAAGCGGTCTTGATCGTCGCTATCATCCTCGCGTGACGTGAGGCAACTGCGGAAAAATCGGAAAGTCGGTGATTGCGATGACGAATGATGCGCGCCACGTTTCTCGAAGAACAACGTGGTTTCCTGGCGACTCGAACGATCGAATGTGACTTGATAATGCTGGCCGTGCGTGGAGCGTGTACCGTAAGTTTAGCCGTGCGGGGTCTCCGTGCGTTATTACGTAACCGCAAAAGCGGCCGGGAAAATACCGACTTGCATGCGCAGGCGCAAGACGCCTTGCGCGCAAATTCGGATCAGGTGGCCGTTCAAGATCACCTTGCTGCGGCGCATCTCTATACTTGATACATCTCTAATAACTTTCATTCAATTATAATTATGTATATAATAACTAATCAAATGTATATATCTCTTCACATATAATAATATATCCAACATCTAACATATTCTTAATATCCCCCGAACGATGATTGATGTATCTAGCGAGGATTGTATTGTTTACACGTCAATCTTCAATTTCCGCTTTGACCTCCAATTAATCGGACCTTTAACCGTTCACGTTTATCGCAACGTACTTCAGCATTTTGTCCTCGCATTCGCGGGGAAACCCGGGTGTCGCGTTCTTGTGTTTTTACACCCCGTCCTTACCGTTATCCTTATCCGCGTCTCTCTTCGAGAGAACGGATACGTCATCCTGAGGTCCCTTGAGACCAGCCTTAGCAGGCTCCTCGGCCGAATCGGTTACGTTCCCATTCGCCGCTTTACCGAAAATCGTGGTGATGAGCGCGCTATAATCGCCGGCGAAGACCAGAAACATGCCCAAGAATATCACTAATCGTACCGTACTCGTGTCCATATTGACCCTCTCCCTTTTACTTTTCGTTTCGGACGAGACAGAGACGAGCGAGACGAGTCCCCTGGAGATTCGGACAATTTTCACGTTGATTCGCCGAATGCGGTCGAATTCAGGTTACATCTGAATGATCATCTGAAAATACGAAATGGCCCAATTGTCGCTTCAGATCCGTCGAGTCGACGTTGTTAGTACCGTTGTTAGTCCCCCCTCCCCCCCTGATGAAGAAGCGAAAGCGCCTATGTGTTAAACCGCAACAACTACGAGGTTTTCCTACGGCAAGGCTTACAAGACCCTGCCCCTTCTTCCCGTTCGTTTCCTGCACGAAGCATTACAAAGAGCATTTAATAATACAATAATAACCCCGTTACACAACCGCGCGTTGCAACGAATATCGCGAAGCGAGAATTCCAATATCACGATCGTGGCGTCACGTAAATACCGATCGAACATCGATGACACACCTTGACTTCGAATACGTCACGTATACATTACGTAAAACATACGAGTGCGATCACAATTGCGTTTCGCGTTGGCCATGCATTCAAGTGAGCTCGCCTTAACCTGGTTTCCCTCAGGTATACGATCACTTGCATGCGCCTCACAGAGTCGTCCGCGCGAGTACCTGGCCCCTGGAACCGAGCCCGATGTAATCGGCCGACGCTGAAAACTCGCGACTCACTAAAGAAACAGAGAGAGAGAGAGAGAGAGAACAAGAGCGGCAAGGAGAGGGAGAAGAGAAGACTCTCACTCTCCGTTAACTTCCACTTTCTTCGAACTCCGCCGTACGCCGAGGCAATAAAGCTAAATCCTCTTACGACGTTCGTCTTACTTTCATTCGGCGCAACAAAGCCGCTCGAAAGCGAGGCCGTCGCTGCTGCCCCGAGCCTCCGAGTAACGCCGACGATTTCTTTGTATCGTCGAATAAACTTTTAGCACCGAGTCGCGGAAACGGCCGGCGAATCGTCGGCGAGTCGTACGGCGAGAAATCTTCTTCTGTTTCCGTCTTACGGACAAACACGGCGCGGCGAGGAAACACACTTCGCGACCTCGAGACATTTTTACTTTTCTCTCTCTCTCTCTCTCTGTCTCTCTCTCTATCTATCTCTCTCTCTCTATCTATCTATCTATCTATCTATCTATCTATCTCTCTTTGTCTCTCTCTCTTTCCTTCGATCTCACGGCTAATGACCCAAGGCGAACGACGTGAATCTACTTCGGGACCTGGTTCCCAGGTTCGCCTGCGTGAATGCAACGTCGCCGATTATCGCTAATTCACGTCGTATCCGACGACGACACGGCGCGACGCCGCGGTCCGCCCGGTTAAATCACAGCGAATCGCGAGATTTCGGCCGGGCGATCGACAAACAACCGGCCGGAAACAAACGGTCAATCCGCGGATGACGGTCTCGCTGGCGGAAAATCATGGGAGCGCCCAACGCGCGCTCCCGCCGTGTAAATCAAGTCGAATCGAGCGCAAATCGACACCCACGGATCGTAGCTCAACGGGCCGGCGACTGGCGATTACGCGTCCGATTGTCGCGACAAATATTCTCACACCGTCTATATCTCTCTTTTGCGTTGATCGATCGATCGGCTGGGTCCAAAGTTGAGGAAGTTGCTCGCTGAGAGTGGCAGCATGCGAGCGTCACCAAGAGAGGCACCAAGTGATTCGCACGGAAGAGAGAGGAGGCGCTTGGAATCCGCGCGGTCGCGTCGCACAATCGTACAATTGTCGCACCAGGTACGCACTTTCGAGCGGCCGTGTTCCGTGTGAGGGTCGCGCTGCCAGCGAGGAGGAGAAGTACGAGCGGCGCTACCGCGGTCTGCTGAAGTCGCGGAATGACTGTGAATGACTCGAAACCACGGCGGCGAGTCTAACGAGTTGTCAGTGAAAGTTGGCCGATCGCTTGCGGGTCTACGCGGGATTCGATGGCTCACCTGGCGTTGTTGCTCCGCAAATCGAGCGGACCACGCTCGACTCGCGGGAGAACGCTCGTTCGGCCTGTTCGTGCGAGCCGCACGCGCTTTTCGTTCTTTTACGTTTTACGGACTATTTCACGCATTTCAGACATGTTTCACGCGATAATTACACACACGCCGTATCTTTCACATTTGAGGGTTCTTGCTCGTTAACGACGAGCGCCGTCTGCTTGGCAGAGCACGGGCTAGTGGGAAGAAAGTCACGCGGTCGATTTGAGTGTCGTTTCCTCTAGAAGGAGGAAAGGAGAGCGGACGCGGGTGTGTGTGAAGACATATCGGATGAGACTCGTTACTTCTTCAACTCCGGCGTAACATAGTTTCCGTGCGGGTGAAAAGGATGGAAGTTGAAATTGAAACATTTTAATTAAACTTAAATTTAAATTTCGCACCAATTTAATATTTAATAAATTAATATTAAATAAAATATGATTTATATTAGATTTAAATTTAATGTTGAGTCAATATTAAAAAATTCAAATTGAAAGAGAATTATTTTTCATTATTTATCGAGCTGAATTCGAGTCACCGATGTAGTACATACGTTGCTATCATTGATTTCATTGGGCCAGGCTCAAGGTTGAAGGATTAAGGTCAGAAAACGAAGGCTTTTTTAAGGAATTTAAGGCTGATTGATATGTAATCAGAAGTTATTAAACAGAGCTAATAAGAGTATTGCCTGGGTAATTACCAAGATAACAAGACAATATTGTGTTTTATTGCACCGTATCGTGCGCAGGCTATAATTAGCTCTTCACTAAATTACTCGTTAATGCTTTTGTAATTTTGCGTATGTGCTCTGAGAAAAGAGAGAAAAGGAATCTCATGACTGTGGTATTGCGTCGCGGCCTTCGTCGGTGAAAGCAAATTTTCCGCTAATTCCGGTGGGTTGCAAACGTTCGTTTCTTCGTAGCTTAATTCCCGATGGAAAGCATACAAATTGCTGACTCGCGACGACGAGCGTTCACATGCGCGCGAAATAACACCGCCGTCGAGAAAACGATGACGATTCGTTCGCATCGTGCGGTTTAGTAGAGCAGAAAACTGATAATATCGACGGAATAATTAATAAACGGAATGTTGCTCCGAAAGAGACACGATGTCGCACGGTATTAGACGAGAGGCTGCTTTCTCGGCTGACCGTGTGGCGGTTACCTCAATACGGGCGCGTGGACTAATAAAATAACTTTTGTCTTGTCGCATGCATAAAAGCATGCGATCAGAATGTCGACTCGGCGAGCTGACAAGCTGTGTTTAAAAAATCTCAACTTCGTACACGATTCTCCCGGAGAACGTTCGCGAGCAGCCAGAGCGCTTTTCTCACGCGCCGAGAGAAAACTTAAACCCCATTAATCCCGTTAACTAAGTATATCGCAACGATTGTCGACTTTCAAATTTCAAATTTTACGGTCGCCTAAAGAGAAAAATAAGGCAGCAGCAGCAGCAGCAGCAGCAGCAGCAACAACGCTTTGAAGAGTATCACTTATCGTTTGCTGGAGTGGAGCGTTTATACCGCAATGTTTGTTTCACCGTACAATTTACTGTCGCAAGTAACGCCTTTTCCTTGCCAGTCAGCAAGAGAGAATATGCTCGAAGAAAGTTGCGTCGTTCGCGCCAAAAGCAACACAAACGTTAACTCGGCCGAAGTCTCGTTATACATTTTGGATCGTCCTGATAGCGTTATCCGTCTCGGGAGGAAGAAGGGAGAAGAAAACGGATCGAGCCGAGCTCCTACTGCTGGCTCTGCACTTACCAACACCGATTGTTCGGTCGCGTCTTCAGAGCCAGCCAGTCCTCATGTCTATCTGAGAAAACAAACGTTCGATTTTTCTTTGCTCGACGCGCGCGAAAGCCGCGTCGCTCGCGATTTTCACGCCATACGGGGACAGAATGCACGGCGCCTTCGATCGCTTTCGTCGCGCTTCGCAATTCGCAGGGGCCACCTAATTGTATCACGAGCAGCGATCCTGGCAACAAGCATGCGAGCAACATTACCTGACCTTGGCCTCGCGGGTTTGGATATTTACAGTGTTCTCTTTCTCTCTCACTCTCTCACACACACACTCTCTCTCTCTCTCTCTCTCTTGTACGAGGTTTCACAAGGTGGCACTTGAGGAGTTTAGAAACTCCACTCTGGACTCGAACAGGATCGAGACTACACGCACCAGAGCCTCCTCTCTTCCGTCGCGTGGAGGAAACCCGCTGGATCTTTTTGCACACGAAGATGCGATTAATATAATTTTCTCTTCAACATGCGCGAATGAAAATACCGAGAGTGCGACGATCGGTCGTCGTTAGCGGCCTATTCCGGTTGCTGACTGGAGCAGCGCGTTCTCTCCGGCTCTCCTCGGCGCAACCGTGTGTACCACACGCGTGTTAATGAACATTAATGACTGATGAACGTGCGGGGCCGACTCAAAGTATCCTTGCCGATCGAAGTTTACGAGCGATGCTCGCGTCGAGAGAGATGTCGCATCGCGAGTGCAAACGCATTCGGGCTTGCTCGAGCTACGCTAATGAGACGCGCGCGCGCGCGCGCGCGCGCGCGACTGCGCAACGAAGAGGCATGACGTTACACATTCCGCGTGACAAACGTGAGAAAACGCGAATACAAGCCGAGGCTCGAGCGCGCGCATGCGTTTCTCCGACTCGGCGAATATTATCCTGCCGCGTGCGAACGGCGTCCGATTGACATCGCGAGCGAAAAGTGGAAAGCGAGCGGGTAGTCGCGGCTGCACCTGGAGGATACACATCGCAACGTCCATGCCGGTAATCGTGCGAGTTCCTCGCCGAAAGTGTATATATTTCTTCATTGGGTTCGAATTTTTATACATTCTCACTTATACATTCTCACTGAGGGAATTTTTGCACGAGGAGAGACCATACGGGAGGTGAAGGGGGGACAATCGAGCGGATACGCGAGATTGGTCTTGGAAGGCTCCTAAGCTCACTCGGCCGTCTCACGTGGTTAATGGAAGACGCTCGCGAGTCCTAATACAGATCTGGTGAAAGGCGTGATTCTCATGAGGGAGTCCAGGTGGGCGTCGCGTGCGTTGCAGCAGGACGGCCGCCGCCTCGAGCGTGCCTTCGCTCGCAGCCGTTTCGAATAATCGCGTCTCCACGCGTCACCGGCTTGATATCTCAAAGTGTCTCGACCGGTGCCTGCAAGATAGCGCAAGTCGATTACAGCGACTTTCCCCGTCCGCCCGTACAAAGTAATCTCGTGGTACGACATAGAAAATCGCGCAAACGATACGCGCCAAGAAGACCGAGCAATCGGCCGACCGGATTATATCTAATCCGGCTCGTTCGGTCATGGATTAATTACAAACGCGATGCGTCGTCCGATATCTCGGCCGACCTACATCGCGCCGCCCGCCGCGAGTTGAATTTCATCAACCGCGACTACGCGTTTCTCCCCTTGCCGCATACTTTTCCGTTTCGTTTTTTTTTACCGCGAGACCCGTTCCCCGCCTATTTTTTTCTCCCCGTCACGGCTCGACGGCGCTGTTGTTACCCAAGTTACGCTTACGACGCGGCACGACGGACTCCGAGGAGGCTTCCGCCGACGCGCTGTTACTTGAATCCGATCTTTGGCGGGCCAGCAGTCGCGGCGGCTGCAGCTGCGGGCGACGACCCTCTCCGTTGGCCAGGAGGTCGGCTGACAAAGATCCCGTACTTGCGAGGTGGCGGTTCCGCCGGGACGGACGGTGGAAATGACGGCTCGAGGATCTTGAAAGCGCACATTCCGCGATATGTGAGCGTCCATCGACTGCGTCGTCGGTCATTTCTCAACGCAACGCGATCGATTCACGTTTCTCGAATGTCTCATTGATCACGTAAAACCATAATATCAATCGACCGATTACAACGATATCGATTAAGCTGTTGTCACAATTAAGATAAATTATACCAATAATAACTGCAGTCGTAATTACAATTATCTTGATGTAATTGTAAATGTGTAATTACATCAATGTCATGCCAGCATTATAATTACGACTGTGGCAACTATCATGGTGGTAATTGTATTTGTTAATTAAACGCGCGGGGGGGGGGGGGGCGTAAAGACCGACGAAAGCACATCGCAAGACGCGGAGGACCAACCTTGACGCTTTCGAGCAGACTCGCGACACCCTCGAGTTCACCGTCGGGACGTTCACCCTCGCGGGCTGCGACGACACCGGCTGACCGCGCGAGCGACTGGTCCGGCTGTTTGTACTAGAAAGCATCTACGATTTAACAATAATTATACTGAAGCCAACGAGAAGGAGCGCGTGACCACGCGGGCGTCGCCAAACGGTCGTTACTTTTCCTATGATTTTCTCCAATTGCGCAATCTTGCCGGACGTCGTGATTAATTCCGCGTCGAGCCTGCACATCTGAACGATACGACACGACGTTTATGCCTGGACTAATCGTTTGCGGCCGATTATATCACATAAACGACGTCTCGCAACTTGTAGACTTACTTCGTCCTCCAGGTGCCTAGTGGTGACTTTTTGCGCATCTGTCTGTAGACGCGAAACAGAGGCGTGAGTAGTCGCGCGAGGATTACCGTAAAAGTAAGCAATACGACAGAAAGAAAACTGCTAACCGTCCTCACGATCACTTCCTCGAATTGCGCTTTCTTGCTCTTCAGCAGGATCAACCTGTCCAATTTCTGCGGGGGATTTCCAGCGGAAAGTACAAGCGTGAGCGTCTCATCGCGCAAAGTAACGTCTTTTCGTTAAAATGTAACGACGCTGACGCGGGCGAACGAGCGGCTTAATAAAAGCAGGCAAGCAGGCAATCAAGCAAGGAAGCAAGCAAGCAAGCAAGCAAGCAAGCAAGCAAGCAAGCAAGCAAGCAAGCGCGATGTCGTGCTCACCGTTTTGTTCTGCGCGACCGTCGTTGACATTTCCCGATTCGACTTCTCGACACGTTTTATTATCTTACGGGCGGCATATCGCGGCGAGAACAGCCATCGGGATTCGCACGTGACATGAAACGAACGGCGAGACGAGCGTCATTCGCGTCAATTAATTATGCATCGACTCGACTCTTCTTCTTCTCGCTCTAACCGATTTTGATCTTTGTCACGCGTGAATTACTTACGTTAGTGGCGTACCACAGCGCCACGTAGAACAGGACGTACGTCAAAATACAGATGTAGATGTTGTCCAACACGTAGGCTCGTATGAACGACTGCGAATAGAAAACGCACGCGGCGAGAAAGCGCCGTTAGAAGAATACGGACTCCGGGAGAGTTGATCAGCGAGGTTACCTGGCGGTCGTAAATGTCGACGAGCCTCAAAATCGGATAGCTGCGCGACAGCTGCGAAAAATAGTACGTCTTCTGCGTAAACATCCTCCTCGCGAGCGCGATCCATGGACGAGGTGAAGAGCCGCGAGGATCGACGAGGGTGGTGCGGAAACCGAGCGATGCCAACCCCGCGTGCGCGCGTGTGCGATAAAAGATGCGGGACGAAAATTTCCAATCGACTCTAAGGCATTGAATGCGTGTGTGTGTATATGTGTGCGTGTATGCGTGTCAATGTATCTCTCCTTGAGAACCTGCCTGCCGCTCGTTAAGATAGTCGCGAATAGCGGAACGTCGCGTGTCGCGAGGAAATTCGCATCGAACTTCAAGCAATCGAGCGACACCAGCGAATCTAAAGGCCATCGCGCACAAAATGCATGGAACACAAACGTAACATAACATAAGCATAAGAAAGATATACAATCTACACAAATGGGCATAGCATAAAGCTTGACCAATGAGAACTGAGGGACAATAAGTATTATTCAAGAATATACTTCTAACCTAAATATTATAATGATATATGTCAAATTTGAAATTTGCGAGTAGCCAGGAGAAATTGCCAAGAGATTTTGCTTAATCTCGTTAATAATAATGCACATGGACGATTATATGTATATTGCTAATAATCTGGCTAATAGTAATATATCTGGCATTTGATTGGATGTGCATAGAAATTTCGTTCTTATGGAATTTTTCGTTTGCCATTCGCATGTTATGCTTATATTTAAGTGTGCTAAGTTATGTAAATCAATATGGCTACTTTATGCTAGATGCTCATTGATCAAGATGGCCTTATGCTACGTATATGCAGCTATGCTATGCATATGTATTTTGTGTGCGATGACCTTTACAGCATCTTCGCCTGAAGCCGGTTTTGCACGAACCAATGACGCCATGAGCTCGCTTCACACTTGGTGCTTCCTTGTTTCGACGGAACAGTTTTTATGCGTTTTCCTGCTTCCTCGTCGTGTCGGTGATTTCATCGGCCATTACGTGTCTCTTGTACGTCAGAATTCTTTCGGTTACTAAGACGCTTCTCTCGACTATTCGCTCTGTCGTTTTTGACGTTGACAACGTCCAATTTGATAATTACCCTATCACCGTGGAACTTTGCTCTTTCCTTCTTGCAAGGAGAGATCCTACGTAAATGCACGTGTGGTGCATATTTCCGCGCAAGACGCGCTCGCTCGATTCTCGCGAGTGACTCGCGCACGCTACTCGCGTAGACTCTACGGATCGTTATCGGCGCGTTATCTCCCCTGCGGAGATTCGTATAATAACGTGCGATTGCGATAGCGCAATCTCCTCCATATAAACATAATTAAGGCAAAATAAGATCGAGGAAGAGAGAGAGAGAGAGAGAGAGAGTACATGTTGAAGCAGACGACTTCACACCGCGGGATCGCAGCATTATCGACCTCCGCAATAACGATTGCGGATATTACGACACACGGGCGATACCACACACGGCGATAAGACGGCGTAACTTCGATAAGTGATAGGGAACGCGATACGCCGCTCGTAATTGGTCTTATCGTTGTTACAGGCGCAAGCTACCGCGCGAGTGGCCTCCATGTTTGCTTGCTTGCTTGCTTGCTTGCTTGCTTGCACGCGCGCGCGCGCGCGCTTCTAATCTCGCTCGAGCCACTCTCAATTGACAATGTCGCGCTGCGAGTGTGTGTCGAGCATTTTTAATGTGTAATCGGGAGACGCTCGCGGTTAATTGCGACGGGAGACGCGCTAATTGCCGCGCGGCGCTTTCTCGTGCCAAACGACGACGACGATGAAACTTTACGATCCTTACGAGCTCGAATTTCGTCAGACGTCAGCAAGCCGGCGTGTCATGGCCCAGGGTCATTAAACGCGTCATTTCGCGGCCCAAACTCGCCGGGAGTTCGCGGGGATAATAACGCGTTAAATCCGAATTTACGCTACGCGAGCGCTTTCACGGGTCTCTCGCCGGGCTGATACCACCGACGCGGCAGAAATACATATTTAACGCGGATCCGAGCGGAAACGAGCCCGTAAAGTGTAAGGGAGCGAGAGTGCGAAAAAGAAAGAGAAAGAGACAGAGAGAGAGAGAGAGAGAGAAAGAAAGAGTGAAGGGGAGAAAGCTGACAGAAATCAAAGCCTCTAAAAAAATCCAAACTCTTGGACAAACACTCGTCGACGATTCATCCTCGCCGCTCCGCTCGCCTCCACGAGCGCCGCGCGGCCGCTCGCCGAGGAGCTCGAGAGAAACCAAATTACGAACTAATCCACGAGGGATCGTTTACTTTTTCTACGTCAAGCACATCGAACCGCCGGGGAGGCGCGGCGGCTCCGTCGGCCTCCTCCGATTGAATACACAAGGATTATCACATGAAAGGCGCGCGCGCGCGCACCCACACCACGCAGTTACCTAAAGCAGCCAGTTATCTAGCTATCTGTCCACGTAGCATGTATACACACACACACACACACACAAGTACGGCGGCAGAACGGTGACACGTATACAGGCGCTCGAGCATCGGCAGCCTTCGATAGGGCGAGACCGGGCCACTTGTCGTTTCCCATGACGCCTCGCGGGCAGGGTTGACTAACTAAATACCGAAGTTAGCCTAGCTCGGCTCGACTCGGGCGGCGGGAGGCCCGAGGCCAGGGTTAAACGGAGCTTAAAAAGCCGCGGAGGAATGAGGATACGCGCGCGCACACATACACAGCCGGGTGTTCGAGAACGGACAGGGCGGCGGCAGCGGCAAATCAACTGCGAAAACACTCGAGATCACTTAGAGGAATCTCCGCGCGATGCGTTCTGCGTCGCTTCCCCTCCCCTCCCCTCCCCCTCCCCCCGCACCCCTTCATTTCCATCCAGCCTCGCTCCGTCAGCGGAGCCTGTCGTCCCTACGACAGGGCGCATCGACTTCGCATCTCGCCGATCCACCCTCCCGTGGGCGATGTTTATGTAAAACAGTAGCCGAATGAACCCTCGAGCGTCGGAGCGATGGAACCACTTGACGCGTCAAAAACGTCAGTTACATATCGCGCGGCCGGGTTGCGCATCGGCTGTAGTCGCTGGGGGTGCTTTTGTCGGCGAGGAAAGACGGGACTGAGAAGCGACCTGGCGTATCCCGGGGATGGGAATCGAGAGCCGGCGGCGTGCGTGGCCGCGTAAGGGGATATTTTGGAAGGGACGGTGTCGAGCGTCGGACTCGAGTGCGACGCTCGAGAATTCGCGAAACAGTCGGGCGACTAGTCGGGATGCCCGAGTGCGAGTCTCGTTCTCGTAATAAACTGTTGTCGGGCTATGTTGGGCTTTCGCGATGTAAAGAGACGCTCGAGACTCGCTTTGATCCGAGTCGCTGCCGCGCGTTCTTTTGCCGTGAATTTGTTTCCGACGCTTCGTGTGAATATTTCGGGTCATTCTTCAAGGAGGGGAACAACCTTGAGACCGGAACGGGAGTTTCAGGTTGTTCCCCTCCAAGTGGACCAGTGAATTGTTATCGATTATCGGGATGAAGAGACGCGAGAACCAATGAAGGAGATCAAGAAGACAAGCAACTGTGCCCGACAAGTCTGTTCTGTAACTTTCAACGACAAAGTTGTTATCGTTACGTCGTCGTTGCGCAGCTCTTCCGTCGTGCAATATATCGACGCAACAGGACGATGACGACAGCGAGTCGTCAAAAGCCACAGGACAGGCTCACGGGATAATCAATGACGCCGAATTTTTTCCCACTACATATTTCACACGCGCGAGGGAACATAACGAAAGCACGGCTCGCCCGCTCGATTCGCGAGGGTCACATTCATTTACCGCCCTCATCCGTGATCCCCGGGATCGAGTCGAGCTTCGGCGCATCGAACTCCGCACGGAGGACCGAGGATGCTCGACGACCATGGTCGCCCTTCACGAGCGGCGAGTTATCGTGCGATCGGCGTAAGCGCCAAAGATAAAGGCGGACGAGTGAGCGAGCGGACGAGCCACGGAGGGAGGGGCTCTCGGGGGAGGAAAATTGGTCGGCCACCTAGCTGAGCAGGATATCGCCGGAGGATCGTGGATCCTGCCACAGGAAGGCTCTCTCTCTCTCTCTCTCTCTCTCTCTCTGTCTCTCTCTCTCTGTCTCTGTCTGTCTCTCTCTCTCTCTCTCTCTCTCTCTCTCCCTTTCTCTGTTGTGTACGAACCTCGGCGGGGACACGCCGTCGGGGGCAACAGCATCGGGACATAATCGATTTGCCGTGAGCTCATCCGTGATTCGCCCTCGTGGCAGTCAGCGCGACAAGAAAGTCTCGCCGGCAAAGGCGCCAGCGGAGCGAGAAATTACTCATCGTTCTGATTGAGGTTAATTAATTAGATAATTAAGTTCGCCCGTCCCTCCTTCCCCTCCTCTCCTCCTCTCGCCGAGGAGGGCGAAGCGCGGCGGGGTACGACGACGTGAGCAAGGCGTCTCTCGCCCTTGTCTCCCAGGAGAAGGCGGCTGACGACGCTGATCCTCGTTAGAAAAACGCTCAGCGCGTTATTACGGAAATCGAGAGAGCGACGGTTCTCTCTCTCTCTCTCTCTCTCTCTCTCTCTCTCTCTCTCTCTCTCTCTCTCTCTCTCTCTTATCTCGTTAAGTCGCGCTGCTGTTCCGCCGCGATTAAAGTCGTCCTTGAGTCACGCCAGCGTCGCGAGTACAAAGCTCGCGTTTCTCATCCCTGATACCATCGATCGCGAGAGACATTGAATTGCATTCAACGATCCGCCTCTGCAAAGTCAAACAACGGGGCGAAAAGTTGTAAGAAAATGAGTAAAAGGACCAGGTACCGAGTAAAGTCGGATCGAAGATTGAGATCATCCTGGGCGAGTCTTCCAATTTGCAGAATTCCGCGGCAAGATTCTCCAGCGCGAAACGACACGAGAAAGACAAGAGGGGCCTCAAATCAATTCACGTACCTGAAGCGAGCACTTTCCGAGCCGGAGGACAGGGATTACGGACTCTACTCGCGCGACGTTTCGCCCAGCCGCGAAGAGGAGCCGAGTCGGCTTATACATTCCCAGAGCGAACATCGCGGGTGGCAACAAGAAGCTGAAGGCAAACCTCGGGAAAGCGCGCGCGCACGTGCGCGTTCGATAAATTTTCACGTCACCTTTATCTGACGGTATTTCACCGAGCTCGGAGGGGTTGGTGGTGGTGGTGGTGGTGGTGGTGGTGGTGGCGACGGCTCGACGGCCGCGTATGAAAGAACTCTTTACACGTGACACTTAACGAGAGAATCTCATAATCTTGCGGTGGGACGACGCGGCCTCGCTCCCTCCCTTCTACCCCTCCTCTCTTCCAACCCGCAGCCTACGGGCGCACTGAAAATCCCTTTGAAGAATCTACCCATTGACGCTCGCGGTTTAATATTCAGTCACGGATATTAATGCTCTCCTAGCAA